TTACGTATGTAGTAGAGAGAGAGAGAGAGAGAGAGAGAGAGAGCGATTTAAGCCAGGGAAAAAAAGAGGAGGGAAAAACGAAGAACAGTGGCGCGTAATAGGTGTGCGCGTTCGAAAGTATCGAGAGGGCAGTTTGTTGGTGGAATCGCGAAACAGAAAATCCATTTAAACGAGCGTCGTCTGCGCTTCTTTACCTCTTCGCTCGTTCCCCCGCGCGTCTCTATCATCGTCCTTGATCTTTCGATCGATCTCGAGATCCATTCTCTCCCTTTTTTTCTTTTCTTTTTCTTTTCTTTTTTTCCTCCCTTCGATCGAGCATCGCGTCCATTCCCCCATTATCATCGCATGCCCCTTCCCACCACCCCTAAGCGCGCGCTTCTCCAAACCTTTAGCTTCTCGGAACGCATGCTATTATTATGGAGATCAATATCACGGCCAATATCAAGACGCAGATTATGATGAAGATCATTTTCTGTGGACAGAAAAAAAAAAAGACCGGCGTGTGAAATGGACCGTTTAATCCGAATCGCGGGCAAAGTGCGGATATTCACCAGGGGAGGAATATAACAAGTGAGAAAGGGAGAACGTTGCACGCGTTTTCTCCGTATCTCGAAAAAAAAGCAACAGAGGCATATCGATTTGTACTTGCACATTTATATAATAGAACACGAGATAGAGGATAAAAAGAAAAAGAAGAAGAGAAGAAAAAACATGACGACGATGATAACGAAGAGACGAAGAAACAGGCAGATAAGCAGGCAAACGAGAAACAAGGATTGTTTATTATATATCAATTTACGAATAACAAGAAGAGGAAACGATAGATAGAGAGAAAAAGAGGAAAACAAGTAAGCGGAAAATAACACGTTTCCTTTTTTTTTCTTTTATAATTAACGATGCAACAAATCGAACTTTTGAGATCAAAAAAAAAAAAAAATTGACAATTGTTGTTCGCAAGCTAGGAGAGAAGCGAACGATCACGTACTGTTTACTGCTGGAAAGAAGTTTCGCGAAACGGCACAGGCAAGAGAAGTCCTTAGGATCACCTATCCCCACTTTAGACGCTTTGTTGTTGACAATCCACCACGCACTACATAATAGTAGAAAAGCTATAATTTGAATATTCAAAATAAAAATTATTTTCATTTATGATACATTATGTTAGAATAATTAAAATTGGAAACTAAAATATATATTTTCGAAATTCTTGATTATTTCGACACATATAGACATAATATATACGTATACATACAATTATTTTAACTATCTAAATACGAAATTACATTTATAAATTAAATTATAAATCATAATTAGCCTATGCATATTGATGAAAAATAAAAAAATTTTTATATTATATCAATACGTTAAAATTTTCTGGATTTTATGTATTGAGGTTTAGATAGACAGATCGTCATTTTGGATCAATATATGTGATAAATATCATCATAATAGGAACAAAAATACGCGTGAAAATAGGCTTTTTCTTCCAAATTAACTAATCGTACCAGCGAGACTTCTTTCCACCAGTGAACAGTATCTTCGCGTTGCACATGCTGCTCGCACGTTTATCTTTGCCGTTCGATCGATCGCGTTGGCCAATATCGAACCAACAAGATCGATGAAAAGCGAAGCGAGGATAGAATGGAAGGAATAGAATTCATCGCCTTCCGTTCGAATTCCTTGGAAACTTTGTCACAACGAAGTGGCGTCGAACGTGCAAAAGGGAGAACGAGTAAGGAAGACGAGGAATAAGACAAAGAGGTGTCGAGAGAGAGAGAGAGAGAGAAAGAGAGAGAGAGAAAGAAGGCAAGTTAGGCGTTCTCGTGGATGAAATCCTCGTACGAATACGACGAGAATACGAAAAGAAGAGAAGAACGGCGGATTGAATGATCGCCGCTGGATCGTCAACCGATTATCGTCCACTTCTTATCGCAAACATTATATTATCCGGCGGCGATCGATCGATACGATTTTTTTTTTCTTTTTCGATTCGTTTTACCTTACGAGCTTTGCTCCGATACTCCTCGGCCTTGATCAGCTCTCCCCGGGCCTGGACAACGTGGTCGCCGGTTTGATCGACGAGGTACTCGATGCGGTCCACCAACTCACCCTGCCGTGCCGTATACCGGACGAGGGAAGGGGAGGGAGGGAGGGAGGACAAGCGGAGGAGAGGGCAAGAGGTGGATCGCTTCCAGCAAGGTTTGTTTACACGCGTCGATGTTTCGTTTCGCACGTGTGTCGATGCGTTACGTATAGATGCGCCCAAAGAGCAGGACGGTGCGCACGTATACGCGTAAACGCGTATAATATACAGATATTATATAAAGGAAGAGAGAGATGAGTAGATCAGTGTGAGTAAAGCCACACATCGCGTTATATATATATATACAGCATATACGCCATCACCCAATAAAGGGAATGAGGAAAAGCCACGATGACGATACGGTTGGCGCGCAACAGCCAAATCCAATCGTGAGATAAAATCGTTAGAGACGTTAGAAGATATAGGTTTTATATATATATATATATGTACGTAGAGTTTTTTTAATTAGTTTAAGTGTACAAAATGTGAAAGAACGGTTCATGGGCAGAGTCACAATTAGCACACTCACGTTCAGTAAGGACAGAGCGACACAAGTAGAGAGACACACATATAGACGATGATGCATGTGTACAGCAAACGTGTGTACGCATCGTATACGTAAGAAAAAAAAAAAAAGGAGGTACGCGTACACACACGTGCATACACACACCACACATACACACACACACACACACAACGTACGTAAAGAAATAGAAAAGAGAACAATCAAAGAGGGACAGGGAATACGCGTATAAATACAAACATCATGTACATGGATGCACATCGAACGCATATATATATATGTGTGTGTATGGGCGCGAGCATCGATTCCATCCGATTCCACAAAATATATAAAGGATATACAAAATTTATAAAGAAACAAGGGGAGAGGGGGGAAAGAAAAACGTCGTCGTTTTATTCGATGTCGCGTCGTATATATATATATACATATATATATGTATCAGGAGAATAGTAGTAGCAGTAGCAGTAGCGGTAATGTAGTAATAATAACAGTAGTAATAGTAGTAATAGTAGTAGTAGTAGTAGTAGTAGTAGTGGTAGCAGTACAAACGAGGGGGAGGGGGCGAAAAAAGCGAAAATAACCAAAAAGCGTAAACGGGTTACGTGTAAATAGTAAATAAATAGGCGAAATAATGTATAAAGGGATTAAAAGAAACGCGAGTACAATTGGGAGAGAGAAAGAGAGAGAGAGAGAGAGAAATAGGATGGAAGGAAGATAAAGGAGGGGAGGTGAGGGGGAGGTGGAGGATCGAGGGGAACAAAACAAAAAGTGACGAATTAGACGCGAACGAAAAGATCGATCCGGGGATTGTGCGATCTGGGGAGGACTCACCCGTCGAGCTTTGCTTTGATACTTGAGCGCTTTTTTGGTGTCCTGCGTAGCCGTCTGCACGTAGTCCACCGCGTGTTCCACATGGTATTCTATGCGATCTATCATCTCGCCCTAGGAGCAGGTAACGTAGCCGCGATCCACACAGCGTAACGAAGAGGGGGGAGGGGAAGGCGGGAAGAGGAAGAGGGGGAGGGGGGGAGGAAGAAAGACAGAGAGAGAGAGAGAGCAATTGTTAGTTTTTTTTTAGTTTTTTTTTTTAGTTTTTTTTTTTGTTTTTAAAAGTCCGTAGTTCGAATATAGTAGTTTCCCCTCATGCTTCGCTTACGCGCGGGAAAGAGAAAGACAAAGAGAGAGAAGGTGATGACGAATCCTACCGATTCCTTTTTTTCAACAAGCCTCGATTATTCTAATCTCGATTATTATTAGATCCTCTCCTCAAGAAAAAAAAAAAAGAGAGAGAGAGAAGAAAGGAGGAAAGAGAGAGAATAAAAAATATACCACGTTAATAAACGTTAATTCCGTATACGTGTCAATGTTAATATCAATTGTTATCGTTATACGTTTTTAATGGTTCGTTCGCGTGTCATGCATTTTCTAATGATTATTAGAGAATGAAAGAAAATTTTTACTTCTCCCACAGACCATTATGAACACGGTTACCATAGGGGATTCGAAAAGGAAGAGCCGCGAAGAGAGAAGTGGTTACACTGGTTCGCGCTACGTCCCCTCTCAAAATTTGTCCTTTTCTTTCTCTTTTCCATCCATTTTTTTTTTTCTTTTTCCTTACAATTCGATAAAAATAGATAAAGTGTCTCTCCCAAAACGATACAGATACGTTGCAATACCGATCGATGATAGAAACGAATCTCGTCGAAAGAGAGAGAGAAAAAAAAAAAAAAAAAAAACTACACAAAATAATAAAATCGTAAGAACAAAACGAGAAAAAAAGAAAAAAAAAAAAAAGAAGCAAAGTCGAAGGGTGAAACTTGGGGTCCTATATGTAAAAAAAAAAGGTACACGATCGATCTTACCTGACTTTCCACCAACATCGCCATATCCATGAACATATCGTGAAGCTCCCTGATGGAGTTTTCTAGTTTAATGATGTCGGCGTGGCGTGCCTCGATATCGGCGAGGGTCTGTTTCGCTTGTTGCGTTTCCATGATAATCTGCGAGAAACAGCACACCTACGTTGTTTCGACGCGCCGTAGAAACGTAGAAGAAACGTAGAAACTCTTACCCCCTGCGTGAACACAGCCGGATTCCCCTGTTCCAACATTTCCTCCAGCTCCTCGTTGGTGGTCGTCCTACCGGCTGAAACCGGCGGAAACCAATTTTTTCAACTCGTCCCGGCGAGTTACACGAAGAAGAAAAAAAAAAAAAAAAATACGATCAAAAACAAACAAAACGATCCCGGCTTACTGATTTCCAGCTGTCGTTGTATCCTTCCCTTACACCGCTCTCTGTAATCGGTCTGGGTCCGATTGTACTCCGTCATCACCTCGACGAACTTCCTCGAGAGCGTCGAGTGCTGTGTCTTCCGTATCCTCAGATCCGCCGACGATTTGTTCGTGTGCTCCTCTTGCTCGATATTTTGCTCTATCACTGAACAACAGCCGCAACGAGAGAAAAAAATAGGCGCGTGAAATCGGCCGATCTCGCTTCCCCCCCCCCTTCGCCCCCCTCCACCGATTCCTTTACTTACCCTTCAATTTAGCCCTCACTTTGTTCGCCGTTTTCTTGATGTCGGACATCAGGTCTTCCAATTCCATTTTAACCTCTGCAACGAAGAAATAGTAGGAGGAAGAAGAAGAAGAAGAAGAAGAAGAAGAAGAATAAAAAAAAAAGAAATTAATCCATCCATTTCCTCTTTCGCCTCCCCTCGAGATATACTTACCCACCCATCTCTCCCTTTCTTCCCTCTTTCCATGATTCTGCTCAAT